GAGTATCTCGTCCGCATGGCAAAGCCTGGCAAGCTACCCGTGATGTATTCGATATGCCAAACACAGTAATAACAAGTCTCACAATGGAGATGTTACTGGGCCCACTAGAGCAAATTGATGAACAATGGGAGGACAGTGCTACAGTGCTACAATGTTTTAGGAAAAGTCTCTGAAAAATACAGGAATAAGACCTCACAAAAGGCAGAATATCTGTTCTTCTGAAGGCAACCGCCACATACCTGGTTGACTACAAGCCTCTGTCTCAATCCCTCAATCATTTAAGACAACAAAATACCTGGAATATTAGAGTGTATGTGGGAGTAACATTTCCTATTTATCTTTCAAGTTTTTCTCTGGTGCAAAGAGCTAAATGAATACAAATCCTAGTCCTTTGCCCTTTTACTTTTTCTGCTTTGTGAGACCAAGAAAGATTTATCTGAAGAACAAATTACTAAAAATAATATAAAGTTATATATGCTGGAGCAATAGAACAGTTGTAGGGCATTTGACTTGTGCTCAGGCAGCCCGGCTGATCTGGGTTCGATTCCTCCGCCCCTCTCTGAGAGCCCGGCAAGCTACAGAGAGTATTTGGTATGCCAAACACAGTAACAAGAAGTCTCAAAATGGAGACGATACTGGGCCTGCTTGAGCAAAAATCGATGAACAACAGAAGGAGAGAGAGAGAGAGAGTGTGTGTATTCTAAAGATATATTGACAAAACCAAACTTCAAAATGTCTGTATAGAAAAGAAAAGCATCCTCAAAATAAAAAAGAATCTAACCAAATATTTGCAGCAAATCATTTAACTTCTCTCTGCACCGTCTTTTGTTGTTCATCGATATGCTCGAGTGGGCACCAGTAATGTCTCCATTGTGAGACTTGTTGTTACTGTTTTTGGCATATCGAACATGCCACAGGGAGCTTGCCAGGCTCTGCCATGCTGGCAAAATACTCTCGGTAGCTTGCTGTGCTCTCCGAGAGGGACTGAGGAACTGAACCTGGGCCAACTGTGTGCAAGGAAAGCTTGATATAAGGGCATTTATATCAAAAGGGATAAATATATTGACTATAGAAATAACTCAGAGAAATTAATGTATAAAACTACAAACAACCTAATTAAAAAGTAAATAAATGGTGAGACATGGTTCAGGTAGTAGAAAACAAGATTCACATTTGTCTGTAACACCCTAGGTTCAATTTTAGCACCAGTATGCTGTGACCCAATTCCCATCATGGGAATAGACCCTATAGCTATAGTGACAATAATCAAAGAAAATGCTCTGAAGAGACACTTTTATAAAAGAGATATATGCCAATGGCCAACAGTCACAACAAGATGCTTAATATCTGTAGTTATCAGGGAACCACACAAACCACACATCAAAACCAAAACGGTCCATCACCTCACACCTGTAGAATAGAAAAGACAAAAAATGGCAATTGCTTGTCATTTATAGAGGAAAGGGAACCCTTATAGACTATTGTTAGATATGCAAATTCGTACAGTCACTATGGAAAACAGTATAGAGATTCCTCAAACACTGTCACTGTCACTGTCCTCCCATTGTTCACTGATTTGCTCGAGTGGGCTCAGTAACATTGTAAGACTTGTTACTGTGTTTGGCATATCAAATATGTCAAGGGTAGCTTGCCAGACTTTGCTGTGCGGGCAAGATACTCTCAGTTGCTTGCCAGGCTCTCTGGGAAGGACAGAAGGAAATAAAGGCAGAGGAATCGAACTCGGGTCAGCCGGGTCAGCCATGAGAAAGACAAACGCCCTACCCACAGTGCTATTAATCTAGCCCACCTCATGGTCACGGTCACGGTCCTCCCGTTGTTCATCAATTTGCTTGAGCAGGCCCAGTAACTTCTCCATCGTGAGACTTGTTGTTACTGTGTTTGGCATATTGAATACATCACGAGTAGCTTGCCAGGCTCTGCTGTGCGGGCGAGATACTCTCGGTAGCTTGTTGGGCTCTCCAAGAGGGGCGGAGGAATCGAACTTGGATCGGCTATGTTGGCTGCTTGTAAGGCAAATGCCCTACCGCCGTGTTATTGCTCCAGCCCACCCAGCCCACCTCAAATACTAAAAATACAAATATATTATGACCTAGAAATTCTAATCATATTTATCTGAAGAAAATAAAAATGATAACTTGAAAACATGTGCACTCCATGTTCATTACATTATTTACCAAAGCCAAGATATGAAAATAAGAATATATGCCAAGAATATTACCATATAATTTGCTGCCTTTTTGTTTTTATTTTGGTGACACACCTGTCAGTGCTCAAAGTTTACTCCTGGCTGGCTTGGGGTACTATATTGACTGCTGGGGATCGAACCCAGGTCAGTTGTGTGCAAGGCAAATATTTCTACCTATTCACTGTACTCTGGCCCCTTGATGCTTTGTTTAAGTGCTAACTATTAGCAAGAAAAAAAAAGTGAGTGTCTGATGTTTATAAAATTGGGGGAAAAGAAGAAAGTCCAAAGGGATGATTAAAGTGTAATTGTATGGCATTTTATTTCATTATTACTATTTTGTTTTTTGGAACATACCCTGCAGTGCTCATGGCCTACTACTAGTTCTGTGCTCAGAGATCACTCCAGGAGGGATGAGGGGTCCATATTAGGGAGTAGGGATTAAATTTGGGTCATCTGTGTGCAAGGCTGTGTTGTCTCCCTAGCTCCAATATACGGCATTTTAAAGAAATGCAACTTTATTCAGACATATTACATCATGGCCACAATCATCCTGTTGTTCGTCTATTGCCTCGAGCAGGCACCAGTAACGTTTCCCTCACCCTAGCCCTGAGATTTAAAAAAGTGCCATATTCAAGGCTCTTTCAGGGTTAGGAGAATGAGACCCATCATTGTTACTGGTATTTGGCATATTGGGTATACCACGGGGAGTTTGCCAGACTCTGCCAAGTTGGCAGGTTACATTCGGTAGCCTGCCAGGTTGTCCAAAGTAAGAATGAGATAACTAGATGTTGCACGGCTGCGAATGCCATTGGTCTTGGCCGTTGATGGGATTACACGGCACCAGGGCGGGCAGTTGGTGGGTGTGACCCCTGCCTACTGGAAGATGGAGGATCTGGGTGGAGGATGCTCAGCCCTGATCCGAGCAGGCTTGGCGATCTCAGCCCCGGGACTCACATGCCTTTATTCCTCTGCCGGTACCTTCATGCATGTGGAGAGTGGTCTCAGCATGGTTGTAGCTGGTTCTGGACGTCTTCAGCTGCTGGAGCTCTGCTCGGGGTGGGGAGGGAAACTCAACCATGCTAAGACATAATACATGAAAGATGATATTTTTGAGTTGCTATCTCATTTGTAAAAAGCCCTATTTTAATAGGTTATGGAATTGATTTTCATTATATATTTTATGTATATTTTTGTATATGTATATTAAAAAGAATCAAGATCTTGAATTTGGTTAATTCATATTAATGCATGTGAATCCTTTATATTCCTTGGATTTATCAAAATGACAGGCAAGATTAACACTCTTGCTCTTTGGGTACAGTTCAAATTGCCCATTGTAAAGTTTACTTAAATAGTTTAAATGTCCTTAAATTTTATTTCATATTAATTTGCATTAATATGAAGATAACACATTCTAAAGAAGACCATGTAACTTAGAGTCTTACAAATTACAACAGAGGGATTTAAAATTAAGGGGATTTGGAAGTATAATAGTTAAGAAAACAGTCACGAAACAGACTCTGAAATGACCCAAGAAGAAGTGGTTTGATAAGGACCCTGCTGGAGATAGGAAAGATTAACCTGCCCTGAGGACTGTGATCTGGGATGTATAGGGAGATGTCCCCAGAAAGAGCCAAACTTTAAGCTTAATATATCTCTTACTGGCAGAGCCTCCTGCCCCCTCGCCAGGGCTCCTTGGAGGGGGGCGGGTTGAGTTTCTCTCTCTGCCCCAAGCAGAGCCCCGGTAGCCGAAGACCTCCAGAACCAGCCACAACCATGCTGAGACCATTCTCCACACGCATGAAGGTACCTGCAGAGGAACAAAGGCATGCGGGTCCCAGGGCTGAGATTTTCAAGCCTGCTGGGATCAGGGCTGAGCATCCTGCACCCAGATCCTCCATCTTCCAGTAGGCAGGGATCACACCCACCAACTGCCCCCCCCCCCATGCTGTGTAATCCCATCAATGGTCAAGACCAACGGCACAATTTCACAGCCGTGCGACATCTAATTATCTCATTCTTACTTTGGACAACCTGGCAGGCTACCGAATGTAACCTGCCCACACGGCAGTCTGGCAAATTCCTCGTGGTGTACCCAATATGCCAAATACCAGTAACAATGATGGGTCTCATTCTCCTAACCCTGAAAGAGCCTGAAATATGGCACTTTTTAAAATCTCAGGGCTAGGATGAAGGAGATGTTACTGGTGCCTGCTCGAGGCAATCAACGGACAACAGGATGGTCATGATCATGATATCTCTTACTGTGTTCATACAAAATGACTACAAATATTATTAAGAAGTAAATTTAGTATAATTGTCTAAATGGATTACTAGCCAAGGAAAGGAGAAAGCAATATACCTTTAGTTGGAATTCCTCCCTTGGGTGGGTCTCCTAGTATGAATGCAGAGTGCTGGAGCCCCTAGATGAGATTCTGTCCTTGGGTAAATCTCCTAGAAGAACTTCCCCTGAAGGAAGGGCTTTACATCTGTTCATTGTTTATGATAATGTTCAGTCACACCTATTTGTAATAGCTACCCCCAACCCTTCATGATTTCTCTATAATTAATATTGTGAGACTTGAATAAATGGCCACTAATTACCAAGAAAAAATGAATGAATAAAAATTTAATTAATAGGATTTACTATGCTTTGATATTTATACTGCTCTGATATGCTTCTTTGCCACTAGATAGTTATAGATTGATATTAGTGTATGTAACCTTTACAATCTTTAGCTTATTTTAACCATGTTTATTGATTGCATGGCACAGATTAAAGAGCTTCAGTTACCTTCTGAATGATTCAGGAGCATATGCCACAACAGTAACACAGAGCTTGATGGCTTCACTTATAGAGAATGTCAGGTCTTCATTTCCATAGCAGAAATCTGAAGGGACAGGAACAAGGCACAAAATCAGAGTGCATTCTGATAATGGGATTAAGAATGGATCACTCCTGGGGCCAGAGAGATAGAACAGCTGGGTAGGCACTTTCTCATATCGGTCCTATGGGTCCTTTGAGCCATAGGGGTGATCCTTAGCACAGAGCCAGGAGAAGGCCCTCAGCACCACAGGGTGTAGTCCAAAGAGCAAAACAAACACACAAACAAAACCAAAACCAGGGCCGAGTGATAGTACAATGGGTAGGACGTTTGTCTTGCATGAGGCTAGCTAGATTTGATGTCCGGCATCTCATATGGTCCCCCAAGCACCACCAGGAGTAATTCCTGAGTGCAGAACCAAGAGTAACCCCTGGGCATTGCTGTGATGACTCAAAAAGCAAAACAAGCAAACAAAAACCCCCAAAACCAACCAGCAACCAACAAACCACGACAACAACTCCCCTCCTCCCCCCAAAAATCAAGAAAAAACAATTTATCACTCTAATATTTTATTCCCAGTATTTTTCTATAGCCATTTCTTTCTCTGGCTTTGATTCCAAAGCAATTACACATTCGACTTTTTTTTTTTTGCTTTTTGGCTCACACCTGGCGATGTACAGGGGTTACTCCTGGCTCGGTACTCAGAAGTTACTCCTGGCAGTGCTCAGGGGACCACATGGGATGCTGGGAATCAAACCCAGGTCGGCCGCGTGCAAGGCAAATGCCCTACCCGCTGTGCTATCTCTCCAGCCCCTCAATTTTCTTATTCAAAAAAAATTTATATTTTTGAACTATTGGATGAAAAATATAGCATTTTGGTAAGGAGTAATTTTTAATAAATTCACCTATTAGAAGCTATAGAGGCTATTCAGATGCTACAGTTAAATTTTCATCTTTGAGTTGAAATAACCAGAATTAAACCAGTTCTGGCTTAATCTGAATACCTTCAGGTTGATCTCCGAGCAAAGAGCAAGGTCTGGGCACTGTAGGGAATACTCCCCAACCCCACCAAAGAAAAATTTATATTTGTAGAGTTAGTCACTAAGAATGTCACAGAAAACCTCAATTTTCTGAAAATTGCAACGACAGAGTAGTTAAGTGGTTGAATAAGTTAAATACAAGTGCAGAAAATTACTCCAAAAGTATTATTTTTTTCAATAGATTTTTTTTTAGTTTTATTTATTTTTTATTTTTTTTAATTTTTATTAGTGAGACACCATGAGGTACAGTTGTAGACTTACAAATTTTTGTGCTTGGGTTTTATTATTACAATGATCAAAATGCTCTACATCATTAATCGTCACGGAGATGCAGATCAAAACCATAATGAGGTATCATTTCACACCACAGAGACTGGCCCACATCCATAAGAACTCCAAGATTTTTTTTTAAAAAATTGAGAAAAACCAGTTGATAGGAAAACTTTCTCATTCAATTTATACTACTGCACCATTTATTTTTACACTGTTGTCTTCATTCCAAATATTCAATAGAGAAGGTTTTTTTTTATTATTGAAAGTTAAAAGAAAATTGTGGCAAATTTTTTTTTACCTAATGACTTAAGAGGCTTCTCCGCTTTGACCAGCTCCAGGATGTCCAGGATGTCAGTGGTGTCTCCCTCCAGAGACTGCAGCAAGTCAAACAGGCACTGAGCAGACACTCCTTTGCTGCGTCCATTGTTGGCAGCATCCTATATATGAAAGGCATTTCTTTTTTATTACATCACCGTGATCTACAGTTACAAAAGTTTCATGTTTGAGTTTCAGTCACACAATGATCAAACACCCATCCTTCCACCAGTGCACATTTTCCACCACCAATGTTCCCAGTATCCTTCTACCCTCCCATCCTACCCCTCCCCCTGTCTCTATGGTAGAAAATTTCCCTCTTTCTCTCTACTTATGGGCATTAGGGTTTGCAATACAGATAAAGGAAAGCCATCATGTTTGGTTCTTTAATTGCTTTCAGCACACATCTCCCATCCCGAGCAATCCTCCAACCATCATTGACTTAGTGATCCCTTCTCAACCCCAGCTGCCTTATCCCCCAGCTCATAAGGCTGGCTTCCAACCATGGAGCAGTCCTCCTGGCCCTTGTCTCTGCTGTTCTTGGGTGTCTGTCTCATATTATATTTTATATTCCACAGATGAGTGCAGTCATTCTATGTCTGTCCCTCTCTTTCTGACTCATTTCACTTAGCAAATTTCATGACTTCATCTCAAAAGGCATTTTTAGTTTGTTGATTTCTACCTTAGTACAAATGTCGTTTGATCAGAAATTCAAAATTCACAAATGTCAGTAACAGCTACAACATGGATCAGATGTTTACTTACAAAAAACCTGCACCCAAAAGTGGTTATATGATTTTGGAATGGAATACCTGAATTTTACAGGATCTGTTGAATGTTATTCTGGTATAAAAGAGGTATTTGTGGAAACTCATAAAAGTATAATATGCAAGCTGCCAGAAAAGTTCATGTCAACCCTCTGGTTAAACTCAGAAATCTCAAAGGAAGTTTCCATTATGAATTAGTTTAATACTTCAAGTATTTTGGAAAACAGACACTTTAATGATTCTTAAAAATTTACAGGTTATAGTTAATAATAAATTTGCAAATCTCAGGCACTTGTCACCTCAAATCTATTTAAAATGCCTGTTCATCCATCACTAATAAATTTCTGCTATGTACTGGGCTCCATTCTGCCCTGAATTAAAGGAAAACCAAGATCAAATGAATGAAGCAACAGTATAAAACAAAAAACACACAAAAAGCGTGTTTGATTAGAATTTAAATACTTCTATGTGGTATAGTAGAGATACATATTACTAAAAGAAACATGTGTATGGTGTGTAAGGTATTATAAAAGAAAGCAAACTTATACCAGAGAGCAACAGCAAAGAAAAAAATCTAAGTTTTATTAACATTTAAAAATTTTCACTGTTTTTTTTTAAATTAAGCCTAAAAGTGCACAGTTGGTCTATTTACATCTTAAGACCTGATATGACATATGCTAATCAATTATTTTCTTGTTTAAAGAAGAATGTCTTAAGGTCAAAGGAATAGCTCAAAGGAAAGGATGACCCTGATTCACTCTCTGAACATTATAGTCCCTGAGAACTGATGGGAACAAGCCCTGAGCACCTAACTGGGAGTCGTCCCCTAGCACTGCTGGGTTTGACTGCAACTTCTCTCCTACCCTCTAAAAGAGAAAAAATAATTTATGCTATTCAGATGCTATAAATCAGGCTTGTAAGAAATTATATGACTAGATCTAGTGAAAATCTAATAATAATTCAACATTTGATCCCCAAATCACAAGTACTTAACAACTGACAGCTTCTGTAATTCTTTCTCAACTTAGAGAATCAGAGAATCAGAGAATGTCAAACACATACCCAAACAATCAGTTATGATGCTGTAAATCTGATATGCCTGTTGACAGCTTTCTCTCACTAGGAACCACTCATCACGGTATTCTGGAAACCTTTCCTTTCCTCAGCTGTCATGTTTTCTCACCTCTCCATCTGCCTTTGAATTTTGGCCAAAACACAAGTGACACTGGCTAACTCCTTTCTATAGTAAGATCTAGATAAAGAGACTTTGCTTTACTCATTTAGTAGGTTTTGATTTATCTGCACAGCGATTACTCACAGGAAACTCCAGGAGGGGGGCCACACTGGCAAAGAGCTGGAGCACAAAGGGCTTCCGGTGTAGAATGTAGAACTGATGGCAGGCAAATTCTATGGCTTGACGCAACTGTGGGTTGCTTTCATAGTCAGAGTATACCTATGGGGAAAATTCCACTTATTTATAGAGACCCTTAACAGCGCCTAGAACTTGCAGCCACGGAATGCCAGGAAGCAAAGACCAATTTCATGAGTGGTGGAAGAGAGTGTAAATACACTTGGGGCTAGAGTAATAGTATGGAAGTTTCGGCTTTTGGCTTGTATTCTGTTGACTCTAGTTCGACAACCTCCCCCCCGCCCCAAGCCCCCATCACATATTGTCCTCTGAGCACTGCAAGGAATCACTCCTGAAAACATAACCAGGAAAATTCCATGAGTACAGCAGTGTTTGGACCAAAATTCCCAAACACTTTATCCATGGAAGCTTATGATTAAGAATTTATCTCAAGAAAATTACTGGATAAATATGAAGAGATGTTTATATAACAAATGCTAGATGCAAGTTTGCTTTATAATAGTGGAAAGTTTGAGGCAAAAATTTTCCACAAATTATGATTAGTGAATTACGATACCTGCATTTAAAAAAACTCTGTGATAAGTAGAAAAGATATTCCAACTATAAAGCACTGTCCACCGTAGCACTGTCCTCTGGTTGTTCATCGATCTGCTGGAGCGGGCACCAGTAATGTTTCCATTGTGAGACCTGCTGTTACTGTTTTTGGCATATTGAATACACCACGGGGAGTTTGCCAGGCTCTGCCATGTAGGCAAGATACTCTCAGTAGCTTGCTGGGCTCTCCGAGAGGAACGAAGGAATTGAACCGTGTGCTAGGCAAACGCCCTACCCACCCACTTTGCTAAATGCCTATGTATTTTTAGTGCTATGTGATGAAATTAGGTAACAGTTTTGAATACTACTTTAAATTTTAAGATGCAACATTATTTTAAAAGAAAGTAGAATATAGTGGCAGGGTTTTCAAGAAATAAACAATGACTCTATAGGAGAATGTAGTGTTTTTTCATCTTTAAACTTCTCTTCATGTGAATTTTATAACAAGCATGTATTGGCTTGGTCATAAGGAAAAAAGTTATAAAGAAAATACCAATTAATTAGAAGCAGGATATTATTATTAAAAATTGTTTCCCCTGTAAGCTGGGCAAACTTCACCTTGCATGCACATGTTACTTTCATAATTTTGATTAAAAATTTTATAAAAACAAAGAGGTAGGAGGAGCCGCAGCCCCTGTCCGAACTTTATTCTCTATTCTTAATTGCAGCCAAACAGGTATGAGTAAATGGAAAAAGGTAAAGGCCCTCCCGTTGATCGTCGATTTGCTCGAGCGGGCCCAGTAACGTCTCCATTGGAGACTTTGTTGTTACTGTGTCTGGCATATCGAATACTCTCGGTAGCTTGCCGGGCTCTCCGAGAGGGGCGGAGGAATCGAACTCGGGTCGGCCATGTTGGCCACTTGTAAGGCGAACGCCCTACCGCTGTGCTATCGCTCCTGATAAATGTACCTCCTCCAATATCTTCATGCAAAGTTTAATGGTAATGAAAAGTTCCATTCAGATAGACTCTACATGAAAAAAAAAGTATCCTCTGAACCCTTATATTTTTGGCTAAAGAGAGCAATGCTTCTCAAATTGGCAAGGGTACCAGAGCCATCAGAAGGGCTTATTCAAGTACATATTCTTTTTTTTTTTCTTTTTGGGTCATACCCGGCGATGCTCAGGGGTTACTCCTGGCTCTGCACTCAGGAATTACTCCTGGTGGTGCTCAGGGGACCATATGGGATGCTGCGAATCCAACCCAGGTTGGCCGTGTGCAAGGCAAACACCCTACCTGCTGTGTTATCACTCCAGCCCCTCAAATATTCTTAAGCTCTAAAGAAACCCTAGAAAGCCTAGAATTTCTCTTTCAGTTAGTGTGGGATGGAGCCCAAGAAGAGACATTTCTGACAGATTCCTGGTTGATGGCTGAGGATTACGGTTCCAGACACCACTAGTCTGGAAGAAAAGGAAACAGCATATACCAGGTCTGGGGAGATCACAGAATAGCCTGGACTCTATTGTGACCTCGTGGCAATTTCTAGGGGGATGTCATTTGTGTATTCCATTGCACATGCGCGCACGCACACACACAGATACACACACACACACACACACACACACACACACACACACAAATACCACAGCCTTCCAAAAGTCTTGCTATAAACCCTGTGGAGCTCCAATAGAGCAGTCCCCAGATTCACAGGGTGATGGGGCCTGAAGAGACAGGGCACCTGCAACATGGTGGGGAGAATCCACTGGTAGCCACTGAGAGAGAAGAGGTGGTTGAAGTGCACAGCACTGTTGATGACCGTGGCAGCATACTGTCTGAGCAGGGCACTGTCTTCGGGGTGCAGGATCAGAGCCCCATTAAAAACGTTGAGGAAGAGCATGATTTCATCTCCCCAGGGAAACTCGCTCGGCATGCCCAGGAACATCTCCTCAAGGAGTTGAATCCACAAGCTTTTCTGAAGAGTATCAAGGCCAAACAGCTCCTTTCCAGCTGTGAGGACATCAAATGGCAGGGAAAGAATTACTCCTGGGATCCCATCCGTGTGGGAGGGCGCTCAAACCCACGGGCACGGCTGGTTTGCATTTGTTCCAACTCTGGGGGATAAACATCCACTGTGGAAATGCTTTCCAGAACAATACTGCTGGCCTGAGTATAATGCTTCCTAGTCCCCAAAGAACTGTCATCAACACCTCTTTGATTTCACTCTGTGGGCAAGACTAGGCAGGCATTTACAGCGTGTTGTTCCTGAATGCATCTTAAAATTCAGTCATTTCAGGAGGCTGGGGAGATAGCACAAGAGGTGGGATGCTTGTCTTATATGCAGTGCACCTGGTTTTGATCCCTGAGACCCCACAGCGTTGGTTCCCAAGTTTGCCAGGTTTATTTCTGAGTCCCAAACCAGGAGTAACTCCAGGAGCACTGTCAGGTTTGGCCCCCAAATAAAAAACACACAAAGTCACTTCAGCAAGAAAATGACAGGGCTGGGACTAGTTTTTGGTTTTTGAACTCCTGGTCTGACTAGAACTTGTCCCACTATTGCTTAAAAACCTCATGATGGTGAAGAAATTTCCCTAAATGAGTGAGTAACAGAGCAAGGTTTCAAAATGGGCCTGTTCATTTTTGTCTCTCTATGTCTCTTTCTCACTTCAGATACATTTCTTCAATACAGAATTTTATGAGTTTTGAGAAAAAAACCCCACAAATTCATGTTATTAACACCCAGTCAATATATAAATCGCTTTCACTACTTCAAAATGTTCCTGTATGACCCATTCCAGGTAATTTATGCCCTCAAATCAGATGTAACTGCTAATCTGATTTCTCGCTCTCTAAATGACCTTTGTCTCTTCTTGAAATTCATATAAATTATTGACTTATTATTCACTTGGCCAAGTTTTCACCTCACAACTCCACAATACTTCTTTGAATTGTCTATGAGCCTCTATGTCAGGGTTCACAGCATCAATATCACCTGGGAACTTTTGAGAAATGCAAGTTCCAGGGTTCCATGTCCCATTTCAAAATTTCTGAATCAGAAATTCAGGGAGGAGTGGGCAGCAATCTGTGTTTTATCAGATTCCATGGGTGATTTTAAGGTATATTCTGGCTGGAGTAATTCTGACTTAGACACTGCTGCTGAAGGATAGTATCCTTACCCCCCACCCCTGGCCTTGTTGAGGACAAATATAAACCTGAGAAGAAACTCAAGAGGAAATGCTTCTTTCCTGATACCTTGAGGATCACTGAAGAGTGAAAATTCAGCATCAATTGCACTTCGTGGGAAGGAAGGCAGCCGGAGGAGGTCTTCCTGGAGCATGGAGACATGGGACTGTTTGTGGGCTGTGGGGATCTTCTGGGTAAGGGAAATGAGAAACAAAACACGTCCTACTTCCTCCAGCTTCCGAGTGAACACCTAACCGAAGAGAAAAGTGGGAGTAGAGGAAAAGCAGAATTAGCAATTCTAAAAGTACAATGAGTTTAAAAAAATAGAAAGAAAGGGAAAAAATCTGTTATTGCAAAAAGCTGATTAAAAAATTAAGGAAAGGAGTAAAATGAGGGTTTTTACCACATGGAGCAAACAACACTTAATTTCTTTTCACTCCCCACTATGGATTGCTCTTAAAGAAGAAAGGGTTTCTGATAGACTTTGCAGACTGCAGGAACACAAAGAAGGCTTTCTTAGGAATAGTTTAATATTACATAGAGCCTATTTGTTTGGATGTCAGAACTTGGATGATCATCTCCAAAAGGGAACCAGTTTATCAGTTCTAATTACTTTTACCATTTCCACTGTTGCTTTGTTTCCTATCAGTTCTGGGATTGTCTATTATAAATGAGTGAAATGGAAACTGGGAAAAATCTGACTGGGGTACCAAAACTGATGGAATTTAACTGGCACTTCTTAGCACTAAATTTAAATGGCATGGCAGTTACTTTTCTGGAATCCTTCTTATTTCATAATATGTTGACAATGAATGTATTGGAAATGATGACTAAGAAGTCAACAAACTGTTTGCAGCATATGTACTAAGACTGAAACAACACTAAGATGAGTAACATGGTCCCTGTCAAAGGATGGAACAAAAAATGAAGTGCTCCATATGAAAAAGAAAGAAAGAAAGAAAGGATGAAAGAGAAAAGAAAGAAAAGAGAAAAGAAAAGTTTTAAAAAAGCAAAGAGGCTTTCCTTGCTCCACTTCACTTTTCTTGTCCCCTTATTGAAGATTAGATGGTCATATGCTTTGGGGGAGATGTCAGTATATTCAACCCTGTTCCATTGGTCTACAGCTCTCCCTTTGTTCCAGTACCATGCTGTTTTAATTATTACTGCTTTGTAGTAGAGTTTGAAGTTAGGGAGGTTGATTCCTCCCATTTTCTTTTTCCCAAGAATTGCTTTAGCTATTCGTGGGGGCTTATTGTTCCATATAAATTTCAGGAGTGTTTGGTCCATTTATTTTCATACTTATGTCCTTTGTGCAAATTATTGGATTTCCTTAAGCTCAATGTCTGATTTGTCATCAGATATTACTTTGCTTGTTAAGTTTTTCCCACCCCTCTTTGCCAACTTTTAAAAAAGCAACTTAGTATTATTTAGAGAAAAGAGTTACATATTCAAAAGAGAACATAGGCTTCTCCAGAGGAGAGCCAAGATTATATATCTCAGGTTTGAGATGTTGGCAAATCACCAACATAGAGAATGATTCTGTTCTTCAATATTAAGTCTTAGTATAACTATTTAGTTATGTTTCCTCTTGGTTTGAAAGACTTTTGTTCACACCAAGGTCAACTCACTGGTCAGTGGTAAAGCTGGAATGAAGTTCAAGTCTGAAGACTTTAGCAGTGCTTTTTTCAGGCTTTCTGTATTAATTAATGCCTGCTAGGTTTTTTTCCCAGCTAGTCTAAACTTTTAGGAAAATCATCTACTAGCTTATTATATGTACTTTTACAAAATTTAAAATGAAAATCAAAGTTGAACTAGTAGATAAGTATAAATTAGAAGATTTCTGTTGTTTAGACTCATCAGCGAATCCAAGCATTATCCAAGTTTCTTAAGATATTTACATTACATTCCAATTTCTAAAACTTAGTTAACATGACTATGGGGGCACTATCCAATGATCAGGGCCCATTCATTTGCTGTAGAGAGGATCAAAAGGGTCACAGAATCACAGAATTGGCAACACATTCTAGATTGTCTATCCCAGCACCATGGGGAATCCATCCCATCAATCACAAGTGGTTCAGTACCTGTTTCTGAATAAGCTCCTGGCCCTTCTCGGGATGCATATGTACGAGATTCAGCTGTGGAGATACTGACCTTCGGAAAGGGTAAATATCCCGAACAAACGTCTTTGGTGGGGTTACACAAAGAGGGAAATAAAACAAAGATTCAAATGATTACATTTTTCTTAACCTCATTTCATTTTTACTCAAGTGCAAAACAATCACGTATTTCTGAATGGTTTTCACATCTGCTGTTATTATATGCCCCATGATTTTACAAAGTCTTAAGGAAGATAAGCCCCACTTCTTGGTAAAACTTCAAACTGCCTAGGTGAGACCTCTTTCAAAACGGTAGGGAGCTATGCCAGGAGTGAAAAATCTAAAAGCAATTTGCCAAACGACATCTTACAGGATCACAGTAAGTGTGTCAGTATTTTATCTGAGTTGTCCTTTGACTCATTAGAGATCACCTGGTCATACTTTAAATAACAGAAAGGTGAAGCAGAACTGCAGTAGAGGTCTAAAGAGGTACAGGGAAATTAACATGGGCAATTTAAATTTTCATCTTGATGCAGTTACAATGAGTAACTAACTGCTTGACTTTCCCCCCTTTAACTATTATAATTATTTTATGCTGGATAATATTATCCCCTTCGATGTTCATAAAAGAAAACAAAGTTACAAAGGTAAAGTGACTTATTTACAGCTACATTACAGACAATTAGATATTTGACCTAAAGTTCCATACTTTTAGTTCCTAAATGCTTTAGGGGGTTCAAGTTGTCCTCAGAAAGGACATGAGGTCATTATTGCAGCCTTACCTTATTGTAGTGGATCAGATTCCATCGTTTATCCATGAGAAAGTAATGGGTAGACTGAGATTCTGGTATATTAAAAAACTCCAGGCACTCCTAGAACAATAAGAAAACAATCAATATTTATTGATGACATGTCCCAAGAAGCAAACTAGATGATACAAATATAAAAACAAACAGACTTACAAGGAGTTTAAAGTATCATGTATTTATATCTTATACTCATTGTATATGTATATAAGTATGTGTATATTTACTTTTCTGGGTGTTTTGAGTCATATCTAGTGCTGCTCAAAGTTTACTCTTGGCTCTGCACTCAGGGATCGCTCTGGCTGTACTTCGGTGACCATATGGGGTGTTGGGGATTGTATCTGGGTTGGCTTCATGCCAAGGCTAATATCCTACCTGCTGAGTATTGGTCTGATCTCTACATAAATTGGTCTGATTTTACATAAATTTAAACATACTCACATAGTTATCCATAAGAATAACATAATAAACCCTGATAATACCATAGAAACTCTCCAAAAATGTGCAATTTTAATTCAGACTGCTGAACTGTGGAAATACAGTGACATCTACTGCTTCCAATTTGTGAAGGGAAGCATTTTTAGTACCAATATAAAGAACAATATAAACTGCAATGTATTCCTTATTAAACACCGTATTTTAAATGGAATGAGCCTGGCAAGCCACCGAGAGTATCACGCCTGCATGGCAAAGCCTGGAAAGCTACCCGTGACGTATTCGATATGCCAAACAGTAACAAGTCTCACAATGTTACTGGACCCGCTCTAGCAAATCGATGAACAACAGGAGGACAGTGACAGTGACAATGACAGTGATTTTCATGTATATACATAATTACCATTAGTATACAGTTCTATAGAAGAAAAAATTATGACTAGAAATTCTGCAATTTTATTTAGATTCTCTGCATTGTAGGGGAACCGGATTAAAATTCACTATCTGCCCTCATGTGTCCCACCGTTTCCATGTGAAATGGAATGGATTGATTCTGGAGTTTTGCTTCACTGGGCTTTCTAAATTCTTAGAAGATGCCTGAGTGAAGCCTAATTGAGGCTTAGTCCACTTTCTACTAAAAAAAGAAAATACAAATTTAAAAAGGTCAAACATTTGGGTCCAGAACTTTATTCTAGAAAATCAGACTACCAAAAAATATGAACACCATATAAGAAGAAAATCATTGTATTAGTTTACTTTATACTTTACTTTTAAAAAGTACATTTTAAAAAGTACAGACACATGTGTCTATGGATTGCATTTTATTTTGAGGGGTGAAAATTGTAGTCACTGTCCACTGTCACTGTCCTCCCATTGTTCATCGATTTGCTTGAGAGGGCCCAGTGACGTCTCCATTGTGAGACTTCTTGTTACTGTGTTTGGCATATTGAATACTCTTGGTAGCTTGCCAGGGCTGGAGCGATAGCACAGCGGGTAGGGCGTTTGCCTTGCACGCAGCCAACATGGCCGACCCGAAAATTGTAGTAACCATCAAAAATACTTTCTTGACACATTCATTTATTTTAAAGTTTACAGTTTTAGCTTTTCTAATAATTTCAAGATTAGTAGAAAGTTAATCTTGAATCAATTAGATTCCACCTAAAATGTTCTCTGGCAAGGATAATGAGCTAACAGCTAGATTTTCCCCCAGAGCTCTCAGTGTGCAAAGCCAGGCTACCTCAGTATTACAAGTGTAAAGACGAGTACTGCTGGGCATGTCTCAAAACAAATATAACAACAAAAATATTAACAGTATTGAAAGAGTTAGGAATACACATCAGAGTTGCCACCTCCTAAAGCTGAGACAGAGCTTGAATAATTTTGCCTACTCTTGTGCAGAGCTAAAATGTCAGTTAGTGTTAGGAAAATTATGCAAGGAAAAGAGGAAATACATAATAGTGGGACTGATTACAGAAATAAACAAATGTACCTCTTTGTTTTAAGAGAGATAAAGGTCATTTACTCCAAAAATATTCAGCGAAGGGGCCAATTATCAATCTTGTCAGAGGTCACGTACCTTTAACAGGGCTTCAAACTGAGTATCTTCATGAACTGGTAACTGGGTTGGGATGTCACATTCATTCTGTCCGTGAACTACTAAGGTTTTGGTACCTATGGAAGGTAAAAGTAAAAGGAAACTAACTTTTATAGGAATCTTTAGATTTCAATCATAAAACAATAACATATTATCAATATCCTGAAATTTATTTATTTATATGTTTAATTATTCACTTATTTGCAGTGCTGGGAATTGACATGTCTCATACATTTAAGGCAAGTGCTTTACTATTAGCAACATCCCTTTTACTGCTATTATTTTGTAGTTAATGTGAAAGATGTATTGTATCAGTTATACCATGTTTGAGTTAAACATATTTTTAAATATGTGGATTTATTACTAAAAACAATTATAATCACTTATGGAGTTGCCAATAATTTACATGCACATTGTATAAGATACTTAAATTCCACAGCAATCCAATTACAAGGGCAATATTTTTTTTAATCTTAGAAATGAGAAAATAAAGAACTTATTTATATAAGTAATAACTGTTAATAGTTTATAAATAATGTAGTTAAAGGTACATAATTATTCAGTGAGCAAATCAGAATTTAAATTTTGGGCACTGCAACAGATAAATATACCCTTTTTAAAATACAAAACATGAAAAGAAAAATAGTTGAGAAAATATCAAGAGAAATATGAGTAAAATTAAAACAACTTCCTGAGCTGTATTTTACATTTACAGTTTTTTTAAAATTTCTACTTGGGCAGTGAAGTAATAACATCTATTTAATTTGCAATTACATATGCATGTGCAAGTTATGCAAAATCTTGATTATTGGGGGGTAGGGTTTTGGGGCCATACCAGGTGGTACTCAAGTCTCACTCCTATCTCTATCTCAGGGAATCACTCTTAGTGGTCTCGGGGGACTGTATGAGGTGCTGGATATCAAACCCAGGTTGACCATATGCAAGGCAAATGCCCTACTCTCTGTCATATCACTCCAGTCCCTACCTTGATGTTTAATGAATTATTTTTAAGTGTGCAAATGACAACGAAAGTTTCTTTGTTATGATAAAACTGATCATTTTGTTGGGTAATGTATAAGACATATAAATATATAACTCTCCAAATATTATTTATTGGCTGTTTACCAGAGATCTTAAGGCTACAGGCTACAAACTATTATTAATTCCATTTATTTTACATACCTAAACTCATTCATCACAATTGTAAAGTACAAGTTATATCCCTATTTTATAAATGAGTAGAGAAAGCTTGAAAAATGATCACCCTTTTCAAAGCTAATACTAATTATATGGCTAATAAATGACAGTGTTGTGATTCTAATGCAACCTTTTTTTTGTTGCCAAAACCAGAATAATTATCTACATGTAATTTTTGTCTTTCTCTTTGTTTCAAGAATGTATCATCTCCTATTATCTTAGTCATGGCAGAAGGATAAAAGCTTGGCAAAAATCTTTATCCTAAAGAAAAACAGCTATCCAAAGAGAAAAAGAACTGTATCTAAAATTTACATCATACCTCATGTTCTTTTTGTGATTCTCTTTCTTGTTGCTTTTTCCTTTCTCAATTTTGTCATAAAGCCATCTCTCATTGAATTTACAAAGTTCTGGGGTCTGTGCCATGCAAACAATATTATTCTCTCTGCATGCCAAAGATTCATTCAAAAAGGCTTTCAGTTTAACTGGCCCTCCGCGATAGACTTAAACAAATCTCCCACCTTGGCAGGCCTTCAAGGATTCAGTTCACATTGATCTTAGTTCTGATCTCTCTTTCATCTGGCCTTTGCTCACTTTTAAAGGATCTATTGTGTTTTTTTTTCTTTTCAGATAATATTAAACAAAAATTCTTTGAAATACTCAATCCTAAGGTCAGAGCACTGAAAAATTTCTCATGAGGGAGAGAGCCACTTGGCCTTTAAAAGGGTCATTTGCCATCTTAAAAACAGAACAAAACATTATGTTATTCAAACGCAGCCATTACCTGGCATGGATGCGGTCACCAGGAGCTTGACCTCACATTGCTCTTTCTTCATTGTCTGCTTCAGATCCTTGAAGAACAGACCCTCCACATAACCCACCACCTCCCAGAGGAATGTCAGGGTGGCTGAAATGGCATCCATCCCCCATTCACAAGGGGTTCGAACGAAGTACATGATCAATCCCACCTAAAAAACAGGAGGAAATTCACAAAGTCGCAACAAGCCTGAGCTCATATTAGAATTTTCTTCTCTCTCCTTCCTTCCTTCCTTCCTTCCTTCCTTCCTTCCTTCCTTCCTTCCTTCCTTCCTTCCTTCCTTCCCCTCTCTCTTTCTTTCTATCTTTCTTTCTTACAATTTTTCTTACTTTCTAAATAAAACATTCTTTCAGGTTTTATATTCTTCCTTTCAAATGCTTCCTTAACACTCTCAATGTCAATAACCAGCATAAATGGGAAACTGAAGAAGGATTGCCAGACATTTTCTGTTTCACTAAAATGGCTACTTCTTCAGAGACAAATAGGAAAGCATTTTTTCTAGTCTTCAGGTCACTTGGTAGCTCAGGTACTTGGGACTCCCAAAGTTAGGTGTTTTTTTTCTTCTTTGGTGTGTGTGTGCATATGTGTGTGTGTGTGTGTGTGTGTGTGTGAGAGAGAGAGAGAGAGAGAGAGAGAGAGAGAGAGAGAGAGAGATTTACACTACGTACAGCTTATTTTATATCTAAGAGTCTAAATCAAAGCATCTTTTTCTTGTTAAGTTCAAATTTATTTATTTATTTGTCTAGTTTTTTTTGGAGGGGGGTCACACCCAGCAATACACAGGGGTTATTCTTGGCTCTGCACTCAGGAGTCACTCCTGGCAGTGTTCAGGGGACCATATGGGATGCTGGGAATAGAACCCGAGTCGGCCACATGCAAGGCAAACACGTTGCCTGCTGTGCTATCTCTCCAGCCCCTATTTGTCTAGTTTTTTGAGCCACATCTAGTGGTATTCAGGGCTTACTCCTGAATCTGTACTCAGGAATCACTTGGAGGTGCTCAGAGTACTTTTTGTGATGCTGGGGATCAAACCTAAGTCTGCAAGCATCTTAACTCTTTTACTGTCTCTCTGGTCCAGGTAGTAGGAGTATGCAAGAGGAGAAGAGACTAGAAGAGACATTAAGATACTGGGGGAAGACAGTGGGTACTTTAGTGTGTGTGTGGGGGAGTGGGGGGGCATAAGGTAATTTTTATATTGCTACCATATACTTTAACATTATTGTAAATAGCTAAAAAACAAAATTAAAACTATAATAAGCAAAAATGAGGTCTACATAAACAACAAAATGGTAATAGTAATTACAAATGAAATATATTTGTTATATAAGTAAATAATTTAAATTCTGTTAATGCTTACAGTAGAACGATTAAAAATAGATCTTAAGACAAAGATTTTTGAAAAAGAAACAAAATAAATCATCTTTCACATTAAAATAATAATCCTAACAACTATTTGGTCACCAAATCTCTTTGAAAATTTCCACATATCACCATGCTTGTGTCTCGGGTTGATGATCACTGTGTCAAGCTAAATAGTGAATTTAAGTGTTGCTAAAACAGTCTGAAAGAGATATATAAGTATTCTCAACATTACCATGCATATCTGTTATATGCATCAAGAAAAAAACCCTGTATGATAAGGAAAACAGAAATTCGCTAGACCTCATTGTTTTCCATTCTGAATACAATAACCTGAATACAAGTTCACCATTTTTTGGGATTTGGGAAACATTAGAATTTGAATATCAACACAAAACCAGAAATTAACATGCATACAAAATAAGACTATACAATAAGAGCAAAGTGTTACTCCTCTGTTCACTCAATTAACCCAGCTGGTATGCCTTACTTGGAATAGATAGGCAAGTATGAAAGAAGGGAAATGGAATATCCATCTTATTTCAAAGCGCAAAGTCAGAAGAAAGCAATGGTAAGCATTTCCCTTGTACAGTGACCTAGAAATATGGGCAGGTTTAGGCAAGTGAAGGTAACACTACAGGGGTTCTTGTGTCCAGTTTCTGGGTGTCTATAAACACCTCACCATCTTTCAATACCAAACTGAATGATGAAACATAAAGTTGGCAAGGCACTTGCACAGACTGAAGGTTGCCTTGATATTTGACTTTGCTAACTGCCTTTGGTCTTTATGCAGGGCAAACAAGACCAAGAAGCAATAGATAATTGACTGGAGTTCATTTCAGGTGGAATTACATGGATGTGTCAGTAGGATTTCTCACACAGTATTTCTCATATGGGGACCATACAGCCTCTAGGGGGCCCTCAAGATATTCTAAGGGAGTCACAGGTTAAAAAATGTGTAAATAACTTCCTGGTACTTATCTCGACTATTCTTGGGTGTTAGTCTCCTATTTTGTTACTTTATGTTCCCCAAATGAATGCATTCTTTCGTCAGTTCCTCTCATTCTGACTCATTTTCCTTAGCATGGTACTTTCCATGTAGTACCACTTGTATGTAAATTTCATGACTTCATCTTTTCTAACAGCTACATAGTACTCCATTGTGTAGATGTACCAAAGTTCCTTTAACCAGTCATCTGTTCTTGGGAACCCAGGTTTTTTTCCAGATTCTGGCTATTGTAAACTGTGCTGCAATGAGGCCAGCTGCACATGGTAGGGGAAAAGGCAGCTCAGATAGAGAAGGAAGCACCAAAGAAAGGGTGTTGGGAGGATTCTCCCAGGATGGGAGGTGCATGCTCAAAGTAGACTATCGACCAAACATGATTGCCACTCAATGCCTCTTTTGCAAACCTCAGCACCCAAAAGGAGAAAGAGAACAAAATGGAATGCCCTGCCACAGAGGTGAGATGGGATTGGGGGGATGGGGGTAGGTGGGAGGGATACTGGGATCATTGGTGGTGGAGAATGGGCACTGGTGGATGGATGGGTACTGGATCATTGTATAACTGAAACCCAAGCACAAAAATTCGTAAGTCTACAACTGTACCTTATGGTGTTTCGTTAAAAAAAATCATGCTAGGTGAAAAGGAATCTCAGATAGAGAAGAGAGCACCAAATAAAGGGAGTTGTGAGGACCCTCCCAGGGTGGGAGAAGCATGCTAAAAGTAGTCTATAGACCAAACATGATTGCCACTCAATGTCTCTTTTGCAAAACACAGTACCCAAAAGAAGAGAGAGAGAGAGCAAGGGGGAATGCCCTGCCACAGAGGCAGGGTGGGATGGGGGGAATGTGGGGTGGGAGGGATGCTGGGACCCGTGGTGGTGGAGGATGGGCACTGGTGGAGGGATGGGTACTTGATCATTGTATAACTGAAACCCAAGCACAAAAATGTATAAGTCTATAACTGTACCTCATGGTGTTTTACTAATAAAAAAATTAAAAAAAATTTTTTTAAGTGAAAATAGGGGAGAAAACATAAGACGAGGGAGTTAGTTGGACAGGGGTGCCACATGAGGGAAACAAGGTCAGAGGAGAGCCACATTTGAATAAAGGTTGAGAAACAAAGCTCTGATTTAAACTAGGGTCATATTGGAAGATATCTGGAACTCAGAGGGGTCTATCCTCAAGGAAGAGCTGAGGTATATTGAGCCCTTGAATAAGCCCTGAGTTAAATCATCCATGACTTCCAGTTTCCACCAACCAGAGAAAGAGCATTGTCTCATAAAGGGAAAACCAAGAGTAAGCACAAAATACTGAATCGTGAGTATTTTTTCTCTCTGATGTCACATAATATTAAAGATAAAAACAGTTGGAAGGGAGCATGCCTAGACACTCAACATTTTGAGTGAAGAGATCCAACACCACTCAGAGGTACTACTACTTTTTTTTATATTTTTTTCCTATGAAAATGTGCAGGTGAGTTCTCATTAAGAAAACCAAAGCAATCACAGAGAAGATAAAGGAGTTACAAATATTCATTGCACATGAAAGTTGTAGTGTAAGTTAAATTTATCATCTTGTTATAGCTTCATATAGTTAACTCTTTTATTTCCTTAGTACTAGAAGACAGTAAGGAATAAAGAAATTATTTTCACATAGAAATTCATCTGGCCATCTGTCTGCCTAGATTAAGATACAATGTGAAAGAACAGTTATCATGCCAAACATTCCAAAAACAGATATTCATTTATATCATAAGGAGGAGAATATAAAGAGATTGGGAGATTCTGGAGGATTTAGTAAAAGCTGTTATGATAATTCAAAGCATAGATAAACAATCACAAGTTGTTTTCATATACAACAATATTTACTGTGTGTTTAAACCAGTGATATAAGAGATGTGAAAAGTAACTAAATATGATATCTTTTCTCAAAATCAAAATTGAAAATAGAAATCCAGGGGACAGGGAGATATCTTATCTCTAGGAATGGTCCCCAGACTCCATCACAAGATTTCCTTCCCCCAGCAAAAACAAAAGCAAACCAAATTAGAACCAACATGAGGAAATCACACAAGAGAAGACAGAGAGAAAATGAAATTTGTTGAGGGTTAACCACATAACTTCTCCTGGCTGCGCCAGGAGAAGTTTTCTCAAACAGTGGTGAATCTTGCTGAACATGATTTATATTATTACACAATTAAAGGGAAATTATTTTTAAACATTTCCTACGTGACTTCTACATTTGAAATGAACATTTATAACCTTCCGGAAACTGAAACTCACCAAGTAGTTGAAAAGGATGTGAGATGTTTGAGCAGGAAAGTCTCCAATATTCAAGAGAAGTTTGCGCAGCATGTACATCAATTCATCCTGAAAGAACAGAATTTCTGCATCTCATCAGCTGCCAAGTTGTAGGAAGTAAAATTAACTTCTTGCAAGCAGGAGGCATTTTCTTACTCTTGCCCACATGTTGATTTTCACCATGTTTGGCATTTTAATATAGCTTATGTGATACTGATTTGATAGAGAGTTTTTAAATAACTATAATGACTTTACCTAGGAGCTAACATGAAATCACTGAGCATATGAACAAGAAAAGTAAGACTTTTTTAAGATAAAAAAACTTAAGTGATATCTGCATATTCATGGTAAGTCAAAAGAAATCTGTATATCTAGTTGACTTTATAGCTCGTCATGGCTTCCAGGTATGCCAGACCTGTTAGAAGGATGGATATTAAGAAATCATCACACAAACTATATCTAGAACTTTATAGCTTTGCTTTCTGACTTTCAAGTTAAAGAAATAAAACTGTGGCTGGAGTACAGTGGATAAGAATTTTTCCTTGCATGCGGTTGACCTGGGTTCGATATCTGGCATCCAATATGGTCCTCTGAGCATTGCCAGGAGTAATTCCTGAGTCCAGCATCAGGAGTAGCCCCTGAGCATCAGCAGTGAGACCAAAAAAAAAAAAAAAAAAAAGAAAAGAAATAAAACTGGTCTAAGGAAGGATAAAATAATCTCTTTGTTATTTACCTTACCTTTCAAAATTAAATATCAAAACAACTAATACTATAACATTGAAGTTAACATATAACTTAATCATATATGTATTTGGGAATCACTCAAAAATATTTTTTTCTCAAAAATATTTTTTTCTCTTAGTTTTATTTTAGTGTCTGTCATTGGAGTACCAGGGCTCAAACCCTGGCCTTCATATATGTAAACCATGTGCTCTATCACTGAGCTACAACCCTGGACACAAAGAAGCTCAGCTTTATTTGAATAATTTTCTTAAAGGATGGTATAGTATATTAAAATTTTTGATGAATCAAAATAAAAAAATATATATATGTATATATTTTGCTTTTTGGGTCATACCCAGAGATGCTCTGGGGCTACTCCTAGCTCTATACTCAGGGATTACTCCTGGTGGTGGTTGGGGGACCATCTGAGATGCCAGGAATTGAACCCAGGTTGGCTGCATGCAAGGCAAATGCCCTATCCACTGTACAATCACTCCGGCCCCTAAAAAATATTTTTTAATAATCCTATCTGAACCACAGACTGCCAAACAATGGGAAAATCAATGAAAACACCTAATACCAACATTTTTCTAAATCAAATCTTGGATTAAAAGACCAAGGACCTTTCAGTAAGGTCATCACTAGCAATGTAGCAGACATATGTGGAAACCATATTTAACGGAGAAATCCAAAAGCACAAGGGAAGTGTAATATTGCTCTCATTTCTGTGTAACTATATGAGGTACTATCAGCATGCACAGCAAAATACCATGCTTAGAACAGTGTTCCTGCACATAGCCACAGAGATAAACTATAAAGAAAGAGAAATATACTTGTCTATTGCTGATGGTTAGTTTTTCCAGGAAATGCCGAAGAACTGTAGATGGATCTTCAATTAGACAATTCCACAGAACTTGCTGGGCCACAGCACTCACTTTAGAAGAGAAAGGAAAGTGAACATGTGTGTTAAATAAACACAAAACTATTAAATAATTTACTCAAATAACTTATTAAAATTCAATAAATTTAAAATTTTTATCATTAGAAAGTTCTCTGGGCCATTTTTCCCACTGAAAGGTATTTGTTCTTTTATTATTTCTGAATATTTTCACTTACCAAGAAAAGATAATGGCATCAAAGTATGGTCTTTGGGTATTGGCATTTCCTTTATAGAGATTATATTTGTGAAATATAATAGACATTATAAATTCTGGTATATATGACAGATTATATGAGCTGACTTTAGGGGGCACTGTGCTAAGTCAAAGACAAAATCTGTATGATCTCACTTCATTCCACTAAGTGGAATCTAAAACAACATGAACTCAGGTACAAAGAATAGTCAGGTTTTGTGTGTGAGAGAGAGTGGGAAGAATGAATGAAAATAGTTAAAAATGACAAATGACATTTACTTTTCAGTGATAAATAAATCCTTGAGTTTTGATGTACAACATGGTTGGTTACCATTTACGAAACTCCATTATAGTACTTAAGAAGTGCGTAAGATAATAGATCTTTAAAATTCTCAGTATTAAAGCAATATTGTTACAGGGTTGGAGGGTACAGCATACTGGGCTCTTGACTCGCATATGACAGACCTGGATTCAATTTCTGGAAGGCCATGTGGACCCTTGATTTGCCAGGAGTGACCCTTGACTACAGAGCCAGGAGTAATATCTGAGCAATGTCAGGTGTGCCTCTCCCTTTCAAAAAAAGTACTGTTACAGTGTATAGTGATGAATATTATCTACATTTATGATGCTAGCCATTTTTCACATATACATATTTCAATCCGGTATGTTGTATACCTAGGAATAAAAGCATACATTTTGTGAAATAAAAGCATGTACTTTGTGCTAATACCCTGACATTATCAGTGGTAGAAAATTATAAAACAGAACTGCTATTTCATTGCTGTTGGGTTGCTGTCTGGAAACATTTCTAAATAAGTATTTGGTTTTTAGAAAATCTGGTTTGGTTTACAACGCATATGAAATAGGAATATCATTTATTATATGTAAGAATTACCTAATGAACACCTCATTTAGCATGGCAGAAGAGTTGAGAGAGTTAAAATTAGGTTCATAGAGCTAATGAAGATGTTTTAGAAATACATATTTATAGTGTAGAAAAGAGTGCTACCTCTTGGGGAAAAGTGGTCATTTGAGGTTTCCCAGGGAATCTTGTTAGGAAAGTAGGTGGATAATTGTGAAGACGTAAGCAGTGTTATGATCTTCAGTTTCAATGACTTAGCTTGGGGCTGGAGCTAAGATATAGTGGGGAAGGTGCTTGACTTGCACCTGGTCAACCTGGGTTTGATCCTCAGCATCCATATGGTTCCCCAAGTCCAACTAAGAATCATCCCTGAATACAAAGCCAGGAGTGATCCCTAAGAACCACCAGGTGTGCCCCCAAAGCAAAACAAATAATAGAATTAATATTTTAGACTAGATATTTAGAATTTAGCACATATTAATCATTCAGCCTATGTATATATTTTTTGGGGGGGATATGAGTCAAATGGGCGTGCACAGAGCTTATCCTGGCTCTGTGCTCAGAGGTCATTGTGAAGATTTTGTGCTGGTTTTTCTAGCAATATTGATTCACATTCACTAATTCCACACAGGTTCTGTAGGGCTGTGTGTGTGATGCCACTGCTTGCTGTGGAGACACTGCAGTACAAACAGGCACTGTGTCCCTGTACTCTTTATGGTGACTCACCCTGGTTTTATGGCCCCAGTTCTTGAGTCTGGGAAGTTAGAAACAACATAACCCTCCTTCTTTCTGGGATCAAGCTCCTCTCTGAGTGTGTGTGAATGCACAAAGGTGCACTGTGGAGCAGGAGACAGTCTGTCATTCCCTGTTGCCAGTCGCTGCCTGTCCACCACTTCAGCTTGGAATGTTGATTAGTTGTGGCCCAGTCTGAGATCACAGTTATGGGCCTCAATGCAAATGGCAGCCTGAGACCTTAGCAGGCACAGGCATCCATTCAGGATGTGTGCAGATGGATATTTTTAAGGCTTATGGTGAATATTTGGTCACTATTTCTTTTATTTTTTTGTTTTTTGTTTTGTTTGGGAGAAGAGCACACCTAGTGGTGCTCAGGGCTTACTCATGACTGGCTCTGTACTCAGAAACTATTTCTGGCAATCAGGGATGCTGGAGACCAAATCTAGGTCAGCTACATGCAAGGCTCTACCCACTGTTCGATCATTCCAGCTCCTCAGTCGACTATTTCTTAATTTTGACTATAATCTGTGCCTCTTTTTCACCCCTTTCGCAATCCTAGGATCACACTGATCGAACACCTTACTGTATGAGTGTCCTCACATGAAGGGTCTTCCAGAGCTGTTTGTTAATTCTTTTGTTCACTTTGTCTGTGAGGCCAAGTGAGATTTTGTGGTCATTTCTCTGTTTTGTTGATCTGGATATGATATGATCTCACAGGGTACCCAGCTTTGCCATTGTGGTTTACATGTATTTTTAAACAATATATAGAAAATATTTTTTAGCACACAACTTTTTAATATTTATATTGAGCACTTTTTATATTCATACTCTCTGAGAATATTATTTCTAATGTGCACAGAATGCTACAAATAAAGTTATCTGATGAATTGTCTTTTGTTAAACATTGAATTAAATTTTTCAAATATTTTATTTTTAAATATGTCTGTAATATAAGCCTTTGTAAAGAAAGTCCTTACACTAATTTAGGAAATTAAACAATGTCAAAATCTATTTTTAAACATTTTTATACTTGAAGATTTGGAAACATATTTTGAAATTTTGTTGTAGAATGCCTGAATTATAATTTATTCTCCCACAAGGAAGATGTGAGAATATTTTTTCCTAAAACATTTACTCAGTATGGGTATTTTCATTTAAACTATCTTCACCTTTTTTTTCCTGAAATGCAGTATTGTTTATAATTTAAAAAATTGTCTTTATATACTTTGCACAATTTCTATTGGACTTCAAATATCATTGTTAAGTTATAAGGACTTTAAAAAAGTGTTAAGAATGGGCTGGAGAGATTGTATAGAAGGTAAGGCCTTGCTTGCATGCTGACCCTGGTTGAAAACGTTGGCGTTGCATATAGTTGCCTGAGTACCACCAGGGGTCATAACTGAGCACAGAGCCAGCAATGGCTCCTGAGTACCTTTAGGTACGACCCAAACAATGACACTCCTCCCGACTATAATACTGTAGCACTATCCTCCCGTTGTTCATCGATTTGCTAATTTTTCATCACTTGTAGATGACTAATTTTTGACTTTTTTAAAAACAATTTAGGAAATGTAATTACATTACAAATGTAATTCATTTGAGAGAAGCAGTGAAATATAGCATGTGTGATATCAGATTAATAGCTCATGTTTTTAAGGCAACCAGAGTACAGAGTCATTAGTTGATTTTGTGTGGCCAGACAGTATTATTCTTTTCTATGGTTATAAACAATGGTTTGGACCAACTGTTTATTCGAAGCACATTTTTTTATCATAAACATGGGGAAAGGAGTGACAATATTAGTATGCTATGAATTGATAATAATACATTGTCACAAGAATAAAGTGACAATATTAGTATGTTATGAATTGAAAACTGTAGTATGTACATTAAACAACTTCATAGGTGCTTTTTCTATAATGTCAAAAGTACTGTAAGAGCTGAAAATATAGTACAGAGGTTAAGCATATGGCTTGCTTGTGGTCAATCCTAGCTTGATCTCTGGCATCAAATGATTTGAACCTGAGTAGAGTAGCCTGGGTAACCTCTGGCACCCCAGGACTTTCTCAGTGAACCACTGTCCAGATTAGGCCAAGAATTTCTGGGAAAGGACATTAGACCTCCTGAGCACCGCTTAGAAACCCCCTTCACAGAGCACCCATCAGATGGAACAGCTCATTCAATTTTTTAAAAAAGTCATTGATGACTTTTCTAGTTAAAACTGTACCTGCTACTCCATCTTCTCGCACTTCACCATCCTCCATCAAGTGAACAATGGGAAGTACTGCTGCACAGATGCATGCTGGGAACACTGCCTGTGGGGGCTGAGGCACGTGGTGGTTTGGAGTGTGTTCAGTGGTGTGCTCCTCATCTGAAGGAAGAGACAGAATCAGACTCTTAGTGTGTAATTCGAATACAACCATATATCTTAGTTCAAGGGCTAAGATATAATAGTAATTATATAATAATAATAATTGACAGCATAATCTTAACAATAACAAGAAGATGCCATGATTTTTAAAATAAGAAGCCACACAGACTGTCTTCCGATATTAAGCAAAGGCCAAACTCAACCCATTTTCTCACTTTTATCATTCTCCTTGGCATTTGGAAGAGAAAGAGAAGCATAGACATTCTTGAAAAGATCAATCAACTCACAATATGAAGATAGGAAAGATAAACTTCTAAGTGAAAACATTTTCATAGATACACAGCTGACAGTAACTGGTTGCATGCATATGACAGGGTGGGAGAGGTAAGCCCAAACATGAGGTATAGAAACTATACGAACATTGAGAGTAAGTATGAGGCAGCATACTTACATTGAAGTTTTAACCTTCACTGATAAATATAAGTAACAAATATAAAGATACATGTATCTATAGGGAAAAAGTTATATCTAGTCAGAATGGAAGGTAGGAAATATATTCAATGGTTCTTTAATACAAAGCTCTATTCCACGGTGAAGAAAATAGTACAAGTGTAAGGGCATATGCCATATATATTTCTGACCCAGATTCAATCCCTGGCACTATTCAGCCTCTTGGACATTGCCCCCAACAATCTAGGGAGGCTGCTGAACAGTGCCAGGGTGGCCTGGTGATCTCAGAACAAGAAGACCTGAGTAGTACTGCACGCTAGGACCCTAACACAGAACGGCAAGTCCATTCAGTCAAATATTACTGGGAGTGGCCCCTGGGCTTTCTGAATTATTATTGGGAGTCCCCCCAAAAGCCCCCTCAAATTATATTTTATTTTGTAAATATTAGAGAAGTACATGATTCCTAGATTCCTATACTGCAGATTTGGGGTTTTGAGGGTCTTTGAAGGGTTAGAAATAGAATACATAAATCATTCTCAACACTGGCTTCACAGTACCTTTCAATAAAAGTATTTTGAATGTTTAAAATATGGCAGAATCATATCTAGAGTAGCAGAATAGTTGCTTTCTAAAATTTGATTCTCCATTAGGTGTACTGGTGATAACTTAAAGGCACTGACTGGTTAAGAGTCTTGCACAAGACTAGATAGATGTAGAGACGAAATAACTATGTACATCAACATCACAAGTCAAAAACACTCTAAATACATAACTAAAGGGTAAAAGGTAAAGGCCCTCCCGTTGATCGTCGATTTCTCGAGCGGGCCCAGTAACGACTCCATTGGAGACTTTGTTGTTATTGTGTCTGGCATATCGAATACTCTCAGTAGCTTGCCGGGCTCTCCGAAAATACATAACTGAAAACTCAATAAGTATGTTAAAAATTAGCTTGATAGAAATATGTGGTATGTAAAAAATTTTAAAAAAAGAAATATGGGGAATGAAAAGGAAGAGCATCTTGGGTCATTGGTGGAGAGATATGACACTGGCAGGGAGGTTGGAGATGAACACTAAATGCCTGAAACTCTGTTATTGAAAGTTTTGTAAATCACAGTGCCTATAAAAACAAAAGCCAAACTGCTTCTCCATAAAAACAATAGAAACATAGGTAAAATTTATCAACAGATGCTTTTTAGAGCTTTGAAAAGAACCAGAAACTTGCAACAAATTAAAAAATTTTAATTTTTTTAAAAAATGAGTAATCTTGGTAAGAAGAATGATTTCGGGTGGCATTAATAGATTATGTGTGTTGAATGATCTTTGCATGTCTAGAACAAATTCCTCTTGATCATGATGCATTATTTCTTGGAAGTAAAGATTAAGGAGAACAAGAATAGCCATAATCTTAAAATGAAGAACAAGTTAGAAGATTTGCATTTCAAAAATGCAAAACTTATATGGTTGTAACAAAAATTGACAAAGGATTTGTATACAGATCAGCTGAGTAGGAATGAATAATCAGTAATAATCATTTATTTGAATTCATTTATCTTCACCATTAGATTATGTTGGTTTTATGTTTAAAGAGGGTACCAAGAAAATTTAAAGAGGGAAAAGTTGTCTTTTTAAGAAATATTTATGGAGATAATTTTTTATATAATAAATGAAGGTGAACCTTACCTCACAGATAAGATATTAAAAATATTAATATTGTTGATGTACAATATTGACTCAAAATTAATCATAGATCTAAAGATAAGTGCTGAAACTATAAAACTATTAGACAAAAATATGTAAGTCCATCTTATTGGGCATCAATTAAATAACTTTTTAAAATATGACCCCCAAAACACAACTGACAAAAATAAAATAGATTAGATTTAAAAATACCTAAAAATTTCTTTTTTTCAAAGTTACCATTAAGAAATTAAAATGTCCCCAGCCCTGCCAAACCAAACAGTGCCACATTGCTGGACCTGAGCATTGAGCCACTTGGGCCGTTGGGTAAATACTGCCAGGAGTGCCCCCAAATCCTGTGAGTACTGCTTGCAAGGTTCCCACAAAAGAAAGTAAAATCACAGAGTGAGAGTATTTGCAAATAATATACCTGCTAAGTTGTTGACATAAAGAATATAAATAATTTTTATGACCTCAAAATTAAGTATATTGGTAACCACAGCGCTGCATCAATCAAAGGGGTGACTTTCATGGTATGTGAATTATATCTTAATAAAAGCATTATAAAAATATTGATTATCTTGACCCCATGCTCATACATTGTGATTAACTTGCACTGATTATTTTGGAAGTTTCTCAGGGTTGTACAGGCAAGCACTAAGAATAAATGGTTTCAACTTTCCCATGACTTTACAAACAAGTGATAAAATCTGAATAATTTCAAACATGAAGTCAGTGACAGTTGTTTAGAGAACCATGTGTTTCAAAAAAAAATTCTTGGGGCTGGGAAGAACATTATACTTCTTCCCAGTAATCGTATTTCATTGCCAGAGTATTATGAGCCTTATTTTTCTTTACTCTTTATTACATAATAGCATCATCATAAGGAATCCTACTGGTCTTGGTCATTCACTAGGATATTCTAAGTGCATTTTTTTCTTTTTAATATTTACCAAGACACTATTTACAGTAAATCAAGATTTGCAGAGATATTCATAACAGAGTTGCTTCAGGCTTAAAATATCCCAACATCAAACCCACTTACTAGTGTTCCTCGCCCTTCACCAATGCAGGTTGGGTGTGGAGGTTGCTGAGAGCTAGCTGGAAGCAAGGAGCCCTGCCTCCTTTCCAGATTAGGCCCACTGATGTCGGCAGAGGTAGTTTTCTTCTGGGATGGTGGAGCAGAAGATTCAGTAAATGTTTTGTTTGTCTTAGGAGTCATAGACAGCAGTGCTGAGGGCTTACTGTTGTCTCTGTAGTCAGGGATTATTCCTGGCAGTGCTTGGGGAACCATACAGGGTGTCAGGGATTGAACCAGGGTCAACCACATGCAAAGCAATCGCCCTTCCTACTGCACTACCTCTCCAGTCCCTAAGTATGTTTTTTAATATGTACCTGGGTATATCTCACCCTTAGAGATTTTGATTTGTGGGCTTGGGAGTTTCTTTTTCTTTTTCTTAAAGAAACCCAGTTGATTGTAATGTGTAGACAGTTGAACTGTTCACTGTTAATTGCTTAGAATAATATCTATCAAATGCTAATGTTATGACTATATGTGATGCAATTAAAATGAAGCCAACTTACAAAGAACAATTGCTGGGTAAAATCAACCAGCAATCATTTATAAGAAACAACACCATCTGTTTTTTTAGAGCATCAAATCATAAAAGAATGGATTTAATGAAGAAAAAGTAATAAAGTGAGATCATAATAATATCAACTAAAAGTGGTTTCCAAATGTCCAAGTCATAGGCAATGAACAACAGGCTTGCATGAGAACGCACCTTCAGCACTGACAGCTGAACGCACAGACCAGACTGATCCTCTGCGGAAGGAGTAATTCCTGTGAGAAGTGCTGGAGGTACAGGATGGACTGACAGACAGTCGACGCGATGCCAGATTGGTGACTTCTTCTACTAGCAAAGAAAACGGGGACTGTGAACTTTGGTTTTTATAAGAAAAAAGGTACCATCAACACAACTCTATATACTCACATTACAAATATTTACTGTTCTACGTTATAAGGCTTAAGTATTTTTGAATATACTGAGGGAAGAAAACTATTCCCCAAATATTCCACAAAAGCAGAGAAATCAATAAGTTCAGAATGATTCAGAAATAATTTTTCAATATCAACCAATAACTTGCCTAAACTTATGAAGGTCGAAAGTAGTTAATACCATATATACTCTGGATTTACCTATTTCCTGATAGAGTAAATGTTATCATATATGAATAATATAATTCACTATCATATATTTATTCTAACATCTTTTTCAATATACAATTATAAACGTTAAAAATACCCTTTCTTGGGACCAGAGCGATAGCACAGCAGGTAGGGCGTTTGCCTTGCATGCAGCCGACCTGGGTTCAATCCCCGGCATCCCATATGGTCCCCCAAGCACCGCCAGGAGTAATTCCTGAGTGCAGAGCCAGGAATAACCCCTGAGCATCACTGGGTGTGACCAAAAAGCAAAAAAAAAAAAAGAATACCCCTTCTTCTCTCTCTCTTTTTATAGTGTCAGAAAGAAGTGAGAGAAAGATAGAGGAAGCATAGCAACTCATGTCACATCAAATCATCAGAGTTTATTATAAAGTAAGTTCTCTCCCTTTTCTGTGACTTAGGGCCCCCAAGATATCCCACGTATAGAGGGCACCTTCTTCTTCTGGCTCAGAGTTAGGAGTACATGTGGGTTCATAGCAAGCCTCCTGGGTGATAGGGATGGCAGTGATAAGACTGGCTTCTCGACCAAGTCGTTTCTTTTCTTCCTCCTGTTGCAAGTTCTTCAAGATGTGTTCTGCCCTTTGGTGGGAACGGGACACAGCTCGAGCTGAAAAGGATTTCTGGGGAGACACGAAGGCAAGTTTATTTAATAGCAATCTGTGGAGTAATAGGCATAAAGGGAGTTCTAATGATTCACACTGTTCTCAGAAACTAATCAGAGATGTAGTTTCATGGAGATTTGCTTATTTCTTTACCAAGTTATCAAATTTTATGTAATTATTACTTTTTCTCAGTCCATCAGAATAATTCTCCAAGAATATCTGTAATTTCTGGAAAAGAATCCAAATTTACCTTAAAGATTTGATATAACATCAATGATATAATCTTTAAACAATAAAATCAGATAGGTAAAGGTAAAGGTAAAGGCCCTCCCGTTGATCATCGATTTGCTCGAGCGGGCCCAGTAACGTCTCCATTGGAGACTTTGTTGTTACTGTATCTGGCATATCGAATACTCTCGGTAGCCTGCCGGGCTCTCCGAGAGGGGCGGAGGAATCGAACTCGGGTCGGCCATGTTGGCTGCTTGTAAGGTGAACGCCCTACCACTGTGCTATCATTTCTCTATTTCCAAAGTTATTTGAGCTGGTTTCAATCAAGGTCAAATTACTCCCTGCCTTCAAATGCCAAAAAGGTATGACATGCAAAAATGTACAACCTACCGCTATATATTTAGCTAAGTATTATTATTTCTTTTTTTGAACACACCCTGTAATGCGCAGGGAATCAAACACTGGAGCACATGTTTGTACTTTCTAGGATATATCCCCAGCACCTCATAATCCCTGAAACTCCATCAAGCACTAAGCAGTGAGTAGTCCCTTGGGAATTTATACAAAACAAACAAACAAAAAAAGATAATATATTTGTGCAAAGGAGTGTGTCCCTAATATAATTAGATATTATTTTGCACATTTTTATATAACTCATAATTTACAAAATATTCAAATGAAAAGGCCTATTTTGAAGAAATATTTTTAAAAAAATGCATATTCTTTGTTCTTTCTATAGATACGTTATGAAAATATAACTGTTTGAACAAGGAATAAAGAGCTGTCTAATTAGTTTTTTCTCATTCATTCAGAATCAATCTTATGAACTTTGGGGTAGTTTTGATATTGCTGTTTATATATTGTATATTAAATGAATATGTTTTACATTTAATTTAAGCAAAAATATTTTTTAACTAGGAAATCAATGTCTAATGCTTTTTTTTTTTCTTTTTGGGTCACACCTGGTGGTTTTCAGCAGTTACCTCTTGGCTGCACTCAGAAATTACTCCTGGGGGAGCTTGGGGACCATATGGGATACCGGGGATTGAACTAGAGTAGGCCGCCTGCAAGGCAAATACCTTACCCACTATACTATCACTTCGCTCCCACTGTCTAATATTCTTAAAAGATTTATACGATCACTGTCACTTTGATTTGAAAAACAAAATGTCAGCTTGGTGGTTTACAGTGGCTCACTACCAAATGTTATTTCCCTCTTTCTAAGCAAAAGAATAATGATATTCTGTGTCTAATTATTCTGTCTTATTTTATTCTGATGACAAGAACTAATTTTCTCACATATCCACTGTTCTTTTTAATAAGTATTCCTTTAGATATGGAAAAGAAAGTGCCTGTTACTCACAGATTGGTCTTCATTAATGGGGTCCTGGACACTCCCACTGCACTGAGGGACCCATGGGGGGTCAAACATTGGGACCGAAGGCATTCCAAGCACTGGTGAGGGCAGGGTGAAATTTATACTGGGTGGTGGTATCTGTTTGTTGACATCAGAGGAATGAGGTGAGAAATGTGAAAAGTGAATAAGAATGAGTAAAATTGACATACATTTATAGAGCATAGGATGAGGCACTCAGAAACTATTTACTCATCAATAAGATGGAAGGCTTTAGTGAAAAGACCTCTACATTAATCATCCCATACGCCAAAAGCCTATTTACATGGCAAAATATATGCAGTCTTTTATATACTTAATTTTCTTACTTATATTTTGTACTTCATTTTAACAGCACTCATTCACAAATGACTTAGATTTTCTTACATAATTAGAAAAATAAGAAGAATCTCTTGGATTACATATGGTAGATTTGAGATTCAAGAATTAACCAAGCCTTGGGTTGGGGTTTGTTAACTGAATTTTCTTGTAGAAAATATCCTCACCTTAAAAATCTGTTGTGCTCCCTCCTCCATCCGGGGCCAGACCTGATAGCGAAACCTCCAGAGCGTGTGGAACTTCAGAACTGCGTTCAGTCTCTGCACAGTCTCTGGGTGGTGGAACTCTGACATCAGCATGTCTGACACAGCATCGGGGACTTTCACCGCACAGAGCAGAAACATGGCAGCTAGGAACAGTGACAATTCATCAGATACACATATTTTAATTTTGCTTGACTCCGAAAGATCAAAAGAATGATACTTAATCTGTTTTGAAAAATGAAGACTCCTGAGTTAATGGAGCTAGGAAACTTACCCTGGAAAAGTCCACCTTGTTCCCCCCACTGTAAACTGACAACATTTTTTGTGGGTGAGCCCCCCCCCAAGGATATCTGGTAATTTAGCAGCAACATCGTGGCCTTTCAGTAGGATAACTTATTCTAATCCAAGCTTCTTTTACCTCACAGTGAAAATTAAATAAACGGCAGAGAAAGCAAATGAACAAAGGAAATCATGTACCAAAATATGCTTTACAAGGCATGGTTTGAATCATTTTTATACCAACCCTTAGACAGGACATTTATGTGTCATTAAAAGTGTCCATTAAAATAAAAATAGCTCAGTTATACTAGTTAAATTTTTAAAAATCCACATTGTAGACTCAACTAGAAACTTTACTCATCTGATATATATATAGGGCACTAAGAAATATACTAAAAAAAGCCTTCATGAATCACAATGCCATTTCTCACTATTGTCTTAATATGTAATTTCAGAAAAAACTCAAATATCAACAATTGAAAGGTCAGGTAAATATCTTAAAGCTAATGAATATAAAGATAAATATATTGTATAGTAGAAATGAGGAATATTTTTTTCTTCCAAGGGCTTTTTGGATACTTATTAACATTAGCAGACCATCCAATACAAGCAGAAGGGTCACAGCTAATGAGATGCATATGTTTCTGTGCTGTTATATACCAGGACCAGATCACATGACTGTGCCTGAAATTCCCTACTCGTAAACAATAACACAGAAGGCTCAAGTAGCAACAAACAGCTCAGTAAACCTCAGACAATGATCTTATTAACACTAGTGTGACATAGAACAATTTTCACAAATTTTCTTGTAATGAACTATTTTTGATAGTTTCATTCACTCTTGTTATAAGGAAGGAATATAAAATAAATTATTCTGTGCCTGCTAAAAAGCAGGTTTGTGGGGGGAGGGGGTGGGAAACTGGAGGTAATCATGGAGGTAAGGCCACACTGGTGGTTGGATTGGTCCTTGGACACTGACTTTCTTTTTTTTTTTAAACTTTTTAAAAAAAAATTTTATTAGTGAGACACCATGAGGTACAGTTGTAGACTTACAAATTTTTGTGCTTGGGTTTCAATTATACAATGATCAAATACCCATCCCTCTACCAGTGCCCATTTCCCACCACCACGGATCCCAGTATCCCTCCCAATCCTCATCTCCCATCCCACCCCGCCTCTGTGGCAGGGCATTCCCTTTTGTTCTCTCTCTCTCCTCTTGGGTGTTGTGGTTTGCAAAAGAGGCATTGAGTGGCAATCATGTTTGGTCTACAGTCTAATTTCAGCATGCATCTCCCATCCTGGGAGGATCCTCCCAACACCCTTTATTTGATTCTCCCTTCTCTATCTGAGCTCCCTTTTCCCCCTAGCATGTGTGGTTGGCCTCCAAGCCATGGAGTAATCCTCCTGGTACTAATCCTGCCCGCTCTTGGGTGTCAGTCTCCTATTTTGTTACTTTATGTTCCCCAGATGAATGCAATCTTTCTATGTCTATCCCTCTCTTTCTGACTCATTTCGCTTAACATGATACTTTCCATGTAGTACCACTTGTATGTAAATTTTATGACTTTGTCTTTTCTAACAGCTACATAGTACTCTGTTGGAACACTGACTTTCTGAGACAACTGTATTATGAATAACTTTATAAATCATAGTTTTTAAATAAAGTTGTGGCAAGGAAGAAAAGAAATTCCCCACTGCTGTTTTATGGCATAGATGGAAGAGTCAGGGGCAATAATTAAAAATATCACTTAAAATATCTCTTTTATTTTTCTCCAGATTCACTGTCACTGTCAGTGTCTTCCCATTGTTCATCAATTTGCTCAAGCAGGCCCAATAACGTCTCCATTTTGAGACTTGTTGTTACTGTGTTTGGCATATTGAATACATCATGGGTAGCTTGCCAGGCTTTGCCGTGCGGGTGAGATACACTCTCATGTGTAGCTTGCCGGGGTCTCGGAGAGGGGCAGAGGAATCGAACCTGGCTCAGCTGTACTGGCTGTACTCAAGGCAAATGTCCTACCGCTGTGCTTTCTCTTTTGTTTTTCCCCAGAGCCTCAAAAACATTCTCAGGCAACTGTATTAGAACAACTGGGAGTGAATGTCAGCTTTAATGTTTCTCTTCTATGTGATGTTAAGTGAGGCACTTAACTTGTCTTAGCATCTGCTTCTTCACTAGTAAAATGTCAATGATAATTATGATGATGACAATTACAAAGATGATAAAGTTGATGATGCTACCTGTTTCCAAACTTGTTTAGAGAAAATTAGAATGAGAAATTACTTTGATAAGTTCTGTTACAACTCTAGAGTGTTTCTAAAAGAGAATTTTTTTAGCAGCAATGTAGTATATCCCAGGCACAAAATTTGGGTTAAATTAATGGCTATCAGAAGGTATATGGGAAGGGGGAGGGTAATAAATCAGGTAAAAAATGCTAGTTATTATGGTGAGAGAGAGAACTAGTTGGTAAGGACTTAATATATTATGTTTACCATTTATGTTTATAATTATGCACATATAAAACTTGCATAATGTTAAGATGCAATTTAGCTCAATAAAATTTTTAAAAAGAAAAGGAATATCTGGTTTTATTTTGTGGTTCTGCTAATCTTGAACTGTGTATATTTGAGTTAATCCATTTAACACTGAGTTTGAATTTGTGAGGATCAAGAAAAATAATGTGCTCTATAACTTCATACCAAACTGCTATTGTGAGCATTGTCTTTTGATATCATTTTTTTAATTGCACCAACCTGTTACATGTCTATTTTTTTACTTTTCTTCTCTTTTTTTATTAAACTCTTTAAGTTATCAGAGAGTTATATCATTTCTTTATTAGAAGAGTTTCTAAATTTTTAATTAATAATTTTATTATTACAGTTTAGGTAACATGTCTACAATAGTGTCAAAGTTTATTTATTGATATAAAAAATTATGGCACCCCCTACCATTCAATTGCCCAAGGCCCAAAATCACTGTCCTTATGTGATATCTATTTAGCCTCTTCATTCCCCCTAACAATTCCCCTACTGCTTGGTAATTTGTGTTCAATAATCCAAAGACAAGAGTTTGTCATTGTTCAGTACTGACTATTTACTTGCTTTGTCTGTCTATACGTCAAAGATGAATGAAATCTTCCATCTAGAACCTTCCTCTGATGTTATCACTCTACACAATAGCCTTCAGTTCCACCTATCCTGCAATTAGCTGCATAATTTCATTTTTCTCATGGCAACATTTCATTGTATATATTATTCCATTGTATATACAACATTCCATTGTGTATGTTATGAATAATTCTTTATTCTTTTATCTGTTACTGTACATTGAGTTGTTTTAATCTTCTGGCAATTGTCCTAAGTACATATATGTTTTTTAAAGTTAATGCTATAATGTTTGAGTATCTATCATGAGATCTGGAATCACTGAATTATATAGAAGTTCTGTTTTTACTTTTGGGAAGATTTTCTATACCAGAATAAATTTCTGATAACACTCACTAATCACCAGATCCATGGTATTTCCACAGCATGATTACCTGTCAAAAAAGTCTCTTTAAAGAGATGTTTTCTTTTGTTTCCAGGGTTTAAGGTTACTTAAGCTTTATTTTTCTGTATCATATGGCTGACCTGACATCTTGTTCTCTGAATGTAGAGAAGGTCAATTGCTTAGGGTTTATCTCTTTGCTCTTTTCTCACTAAGCAAGAAGTGCATTTCCATTTTGTCTGCTTCTACATACATCAAGTTTTCTTCAAATTTAACTTTTTAGGTCCTGTCATCATCTAAAATTTGCTATTTCTAAAATTACTCTGCTCACTTCTGTCACTTTTAACATTATAACAAAACAAAAACAACAACAACACACACACATACACACTGCTCTGTCTGAACTTGGACCTTGGAATGGAAAGTCTATCATTTAAGGTTTGTTAGAATTTGAATCTCTCTTAACTCTCTAACAGATGAATTGGTGAACCCATCTACAAAGCCCATTCCTGTCACTAATTCCCTCTCAAGCTTTCCAAATAAGCCCTGTGCACTTACACACCCTGTGAAACTTTTCATACACCATTCTCTCTATTTGATTAATGTCTAGTTATTTCTAAAGTCCAGGCCAGCTTTTCAGATAACTTCTGGGGAAGTTTTCATGACTGCCCATATGCAGGCAACAGATCCTTTATAGGAGAGAAGAAAAACCTAGCTTTAGTATGGCCACCCCGGGGGGGGGGGGGGCGATGCTGGGACCCGTGGGGATGGATGACGGGCACTGGTGGAGGGATGGGCACTTGATCATTGTATAACTGAAACCCAAGCACAAAATTTGTAAGCCTATAACTGTACCTCATGGTTTTTCACTAATAAAAAAAGAAAAAAAACCTAGCTTTAATATAAATAAAAGGTTTTCATGAAATAATTGTTGCTCAATATCATAAATGTCTGGAACCAAATTAATTTTTAATTGGTTCTAATGAAATATATTATGGTGTACCTGTTTATTTAGTTGAATATTTGATAGCCATTGACAAGAGTGAAGTGAAATTATACGTTGTAGTACTGTACTATAGTACTGTCCTCCCGTTGTTCATCAATTTGCTCGAGTGGGCACCAGTAACATCTCACAACAAATTGTGAGTCTTGTTGTTACTGCTTTTGGCATATTGAATATGTCACAGGTAGCTCACCAGGCTTTGCTGTGTGGGAGAGATACTCTCAGTAGCTTGCCAGGCTCTCTGAGAGGGGTAGAGGAATCAAACCCAGATAGGCTGCATGCACGACAAACTCCTTACCAGCTGCGCAATGAGTAAAATACAGGCAGAAAGCTCCAAAGCTTATATCTCAAAGGGGTCTTCAATGATATGATGCCATTGG